ATAATTATTTTATTACATTACACCTGCAGACAACTTTATGACAGAATTGTATCCTAATGTTTGATATGTACAGGTAGAATTGTCATCAGTTATACTGTTTTCAGATTAATAATTTGTTGTATATGAGAACTTATCAAAAAGGAGTAGAGTCTTTCTGTTTGTCTATGTGATTATTTTGCCCAAAAAAAGCTTTCATTTTTTTAAGTAGCACAAAAGCTGTAATTGGCATGCTTTGTAAGGAAGTGTCAATGTGCAAGAGAGTGGCGATCACTAAGAATTCTTTTACGTGTTCTTTCCCCTTTGCACCACCGCCTCCTCAGCAGGGTCACTGAGATCACTAGCTTTTCTTGAAATGGCCATTTTCACTGGCAGGTGCATTATACCCTGTATTTTCAGATTGTTTTTCCATTCTGAATGTTTGGCAGGTTGATTGCTCTGGCTGCATTGACGGAGAAAGGGCTGACAAATGCGGTTGGGCTGGCTGAAAAGACAGTGATTACTGTTTTCCTTTGTGGCTGATTGAGGCCCTTGAAAGGAAAAATTTTAACCTTCACCATTTGGTTCAAAGTATGAGCATATATTGAAATCATTCGTGCCATTTATCCTAGTTCTGTAAACTTGTCAGAACGTAAAAATCGCTCAATTTCAAGTAATGTGGGATTGGCATACGTCATTATCATTTTGATTAAGTTGGAGGTTGTATCATTGTGTGCATTATACAGTGTCATTTAAAGCTTTCTTTCCACAGGTACAGATATTTTTATTGCTTATACTATAGAGTTAGAAAGATTTTCATAGCTCTCTAAGCCTAACACTATGTGTGTGGGTTGGCAGCTGGTGTAGCCTACAAGCAGTATTTTGTTTGCAGGGTAAAGGCTTGTCTGTAGACCTCCTGGTGTGTGGGTAATTGCAGAGGCTCGCCATTGGGGAAAGGCACAGGATTGGAAGCAGTCAGGCGGAAGAATGTTATGCCATCCCATTGCCACCTTGTATCAGAAAGACACAATCCCAGCAGTGCCATCTGGTTGTTGCTATCTAGTCAGCTGGCCTGGCTGCTGGGACCATGACTTGGCAGCTGGTTCCCATCCTTGACCATTCTTTTGTATATGTTGTATGTGTGTGTGTTTTAGTTAATTTTGTACATGGGTCAAGGAAATGACTATTACCAACAAGTAAAGTCCTCTTATTGAATAGGCTCTTGTTACTTTGGTTGCACTCTGCAGCAGATGCCTGCTGCTATTCCTTGTAGTCAGATAACACATGGTTAGATGTTAAAAATAAGCATTTTTCTCCTAAAAACCTATCTTGGTTTATAGCAAAAGAAGGTAGGCAGGGTTATATTCCTGTAACATTTTTAAATACATGATTTTAAGTTACTCCTTATTTGGCTATGCAAGAGATTTAGTAATTTTAAAAAGTCATAAACATTGTAGTTCTCAATATATATTTTTATTAAAATTAAAGAAAACATTATTTTAAGTCCTTATTGCCACATCATACAACAGTAGATAATGAGACTTGCATTTAAAATGACAGAATTGAAAATGTGGTCTCATAGCTATTATCTTTAAAATCTGCCTCTCAAATAGCAACCTGAGAGTTAATGTAAGCTGTCTTTATGCCATATGAAGACCCATTAGACACTGATGGTTTCAGATCACAAGTAAACAGCCAGCTCTGTAGGCTATTTTAGACATTTGATTTTCTTCATTCTACAGCATTAATGTGTCAGCATGCTATATAAAACTATGCAGGAGTTGTATGTTGTTCTGTCTGGAATGATAAATGCTTGCAAGCTTTTAGAGGCTTCCATGAGGAATTCATCCTACTTGCTTATATATCTTATTCCTGCTTATGTATCCCAGAATTTGGTATGACTGTTGATGAGATGCTGCAGAGGTATGTATAAAAACCAAGAGGTTTCACCCAATTTTTTCTTTAACCTTGCTTAGTAAAACTTATATTATTTGTACTTGTTTCTGTCTTATAATAGTGATATGCTTTTTCTTTTATCTAGGGAGTTGTGATACTCTGAAATACTATTTCTCAAAAGATATCGACTATTTTAAAAATAATTTATTTAATTGTTCTGTTTTTTAGATGAAGAGGAAGAAGATGATGTAGTGACTCCTAAACCACCTATTGAACCTGAAGAAGAAAAAACTTTTAAGAAAGATGAAGAAAATGATAGTAAAGGTATCTTAAAGAATTTAACTTTAAAATTTTTTGTTAATTTCTCTTACAGTTTGTTTTATTATTTTATAATTAGAATAAAATGCCCTAAACCAGAGAGGTGAATCTAGTTAAAAAGAATGTGTGGCATTCCTTGATCCAAATTGTGATAGTGAGTTGACATGATTTGGCTGACACAAGTCATATTTCAAAAATGTTTGTTTTCCAGCTCCCCCTCATGAGCTGACTGAAGAAGAAAAACAACAAATCTTGCACTCAGAGGAATTTTTAAGTTTCTTTGACCATTCTACAAGAATTGTAGAAAGAGCTCTTTCTGAGCAAATTAATATCTTCTTTGACTACAGTGGGAGAGATTTGGAAGACAAAGAAGGGTAATGTTTAATTGCTGGGATTATAGCTTCAGCACTATTAAATTATTTTAAAATTAAGAGTGATATAAGTTATAACACAATCTTTTTGGGGTTTGGTCTTTTTCTATAGAGAGATTCAAGCAGGTGCTAAACTATCGTTAAATCGACAATTTTTTGATGAACGTTGGTCAAAGCATCGGGTTGTTAGTTGTTTGGATTGGTCGTCTCAGGTAAAATACAACAAAATTAGTTGCTATTAACTGAATTTTTAATTGTAATTAGTATAGAGTTTTATTTCAGTTAGAGGAGTTTTGTATAATCAAATCAGTGTGCATCATTTAAAATAATAGAGGATGGTTCTAATGTTGCCATATTCACTTTGTCTTAGGTACTTTGGATGAAAGAATTAGAAGTATTATTTATTTTTGAAATTCAGGACTTCATGCCAAACTTGGTTTTATTTATTTCAGTTAACTTACCAAACACTTTATAAAATTGAAACACGTTTTAATTAAATGTTTTAAACATTTTAATTAAATGTTAAAACATTTTCAATAATTAATTGTACTAATTCAAAGTTGTACTGCTGTCTTGATGAATGTAACTCTAGAGCTGTTTTTCTTGATAAAGTGTTAGACATTTATATTTTCAGAATAATCTGATAAAGACAGTCAAATTATTGACATGAAATAGCTCTTATTACATGGCCTTTCTTTTTCACTTGATTCTTACAAGCAGTATCCAGAGTTACTGGTGGCTTCCTATAATAATAATGAAGATGCTCCTCATGAGCCTGATGGTGTGGCCCTTGTATGGAATATGAAATACAAAAAAACTACCCCAGAGTATGTGTTCCACTGCCAGGTGAGATGGTCTTTTAACAGTCTTCCCCAAGTTTAAGGATTCATTAATGAATTTAGACAAGTGCCTTTTTTCTTTTCTTGTCAACATAATGATTTCATTGGATTGGCATTTACTAAACCGCTCCATATTTGCAAACAGATGTTAACAGAAAACTAAAGACTTATTAGTTCAGCATGATCTGCCTTTTGTAGCTTTTCTAACATCTCATAATGTTTAACCACACCTAAAGTCCTTTGCACTTGTGATTTTCTGTTGTGATTGATCCTATAAAAGGAATCTTTTATAAAATGTTTTTTCTTCAAGGAGTTTCTCGGGAACTTATTTGCTAAATACACAATTAGATGGTTGGCCCACTGAATTGCTTGTGTACATGGCCTGAGGAGTGGGAACTACATAATTTTAAGTCAAAACATATGGTTGAAGTAGGAAACAGATGCAGGTTTTTAAAGTGGATGTAGTACAAGGTTAGAATGTACAAGTCTTTTCTGTTGCACAAATTAAAATCTTTAATAATGTCATAATCCTGAGTAAACACCTGAATCAAAACTAGTAGGTGTTCTACTATCAGATTGCAGTCAGAGGCCAATCGCGGGGCCATTTACCTTTTAATACTATAATCTGTGAAATAATTTTTTGATATTTTGATAAATTGCTTAGATATATTTATGTAAACAGTCATTACATTTGACTATTAAGCAAAAAAATATTCTAAAGATCTATTTTTATATTTCTGAAACAAAATGAAAATATTGATGAATTTATTGACTTGTTTTATAACTTGTACTTGACAACAAAGGGAAATTTCTTCGATGCATACATTTATTTTTATAATTTGTCAGATTTTTTCCATTTAAATTTTAATTATAAAAGTCCTACTTATTTACAGTCAGCTGTGATGTCTGCTACGTTTGCGAAATTTCATCCAAATCTTGTTGTTGGTGGTACATATTCAGGCCAAATTGTGCTTTGGGATAACCGTAGCAACAAAAGAACGCCAGTCCAAAGAACGCCACTGTCAGCTGCTGCACACACAGTGAGTAAAAACGGTTATTTCCATCAGACTTCTGTGCTCCTTCCCTATTAACTACTTAGTGGTATCCGATTGGTTTCAGAATGTGCTTCTTTTGATGTGTGAATTCCTCACCATTTAGCAACCAAGAACAATGCTTTTTTTCTGTATTTTTAGGAATCCATTTATCAGAAACTCATTTTGTCTGAGACAGTCTTGTTAATCCACAGAAAAATTGCAAACTTCATATTAAAAATGCCTTCAAGTTGACTTTTTGAGATAAAACAAAATACCTATGATTAGACTAAAACTTTTGTTGTATTTTAATAAAATAATCCATAAAAACTTTCTTTAATGTCTCTAGCACCCTGTCTATTGTGTAAATGTTGTCGGAACACAAAATGCGCACAATCTGATTAGCATCTCTACTGATGGAAAAATTTGTTCATGGAGTCTGGACATGCTTTCTCATCCACAGGTAAGTTAAGCTTGGGAAACTGAAATTTTGAGGTTAATGTTATTTTCAGTGTGTTTTTACCCCAAAATATGTTATTTATAAACTACTTTAATTATTGCAACAAGTTATAAACCTAAACATGTTAAATATAGTTTTCTGTGTATATATTTTATTTCCAAACATGTTTCATTAAATAAGGTATGTTTACATAAATAGTATATTAAAATAATCATTTATAAATCAGTTAAAACTGAAGTTTTTCTATGATAACTTTGAATGCTTGCAAATACTCAATTTTTTCTTTGTAGGATAGTATGGAGTTGGTTCATAAACAGTCAAAGGCAGTAGCTGTCACATCTATGTCGTTCCCTGTTGGAGATGTCAACAACTTTGTTGTTGGGAGTGAAGAAGGTTCTGTGTACACAGCATGCCGCCACGGCAGGTAAACCAAAACTAGAATTTGCAATTATTTAAAATTCTCCTTTGAATAACTTATTGAATCAAATTGCCCCTTCTTTAAGCAGAAATCTGTCCTACAGCTACTCATTATTTGAGACAGATTGAGTTTAGGCATATAAAGTTAAAGGTTAATTTTTTTTTTTTTCTTTTGTATCGGGGACCTTGTGCTTGCAAGGCAGTTGGCACCACCACTGAGCTAAATCTCAGCCCATAAAGGTTAAATTTTAAGTACTTTGCATTCATGTGTTCTGAATTTTGTGAGTTGTTGTGTATTGTCATTTTTTGTGTACATTCACTCACAGAAATTAGTAATTAGAGCAGAACATTCAGCAGTTACAAATACAATGTGCACAATGCAGCATACTGGCCTTTAGATTTATAAATAAGATCTTTAGCCACTTTCCTATTTTCATTTATTCGGACTTTAGTTCAGCCCTCCTGATAATTGTACAGTAATGTCACGTACACATTTTAAATTGACTAGTATTTCTCCTGCTGTTCAATCTATTTTGAAATTGTCTAGCTGTACCTTATCAATTGCTTCCCTTAAAAAAAATTGTCTGTGTTTCATCTCAAATACAAATCACCTTCACTTCAAAGCTTTTGATTTAAAAGTAGCCCAGATTATTTCTCTTACATGTAGCATCCTTTTGTCTCTATTCTGCCAACTCAGATACTAGACTTTTGAGTTCTGTTGTAGACAGAATGATGTTTGTGATTCTAAAATGTATTTCCTACCTTATCAGAGTGTGATCAAGTCTGAGTGGAATAACACTAAATATAAGTTATTCTGTTGTATGTAAGTACAGAGTTAAGTTTGTTAAACGTAAGTCAAGATCTGGTATATAAACCCATAATAGAATGTGTTTATAAATAGTCTACTCATAAGAAATTTCCCTAACATTTTCACTTCTATGAAATAGCAAAGCTGGAATCAGTGAGATGTTTGAGGGACACCAAGGACCAATCACTGGCATCCACTGTCACGCAGCTGTTGGAGCAGTAGACTTCTCACATCTTTTTGTCACATCTTCATTTGACTGGACAGTAAAACTTTGGACAACTAAGGTATCTAAAATACAGATGTCTGCTCATTTGGTCAGGCTTCTGACACAAGGTGGTGCTCTTCTACCACATAGGAAAGACAGCTTTTGAATAGTTTAGAATTGTTTGTTAATGAATCAAACCTGGTAAGAAGCTACACAGCATGAGTGATGTTGTTTTCATAAAAGTGTGCTGACAAATATTGTAACTCCAGACATGATCAAAGACCAGTCTTCCCACCACTTCAGACTTTTCAAGCATAGACCTGTTTACCCTGATTGAGATGGAGAAAAAGGCCCTGAGTATCTTACGTGGTACCTAATATAATTGTCTTTCAGCCCAACACAAAAGCTGTGCATTTGCTTTTTGGAGTTTAGAAGCTTATTCAAAACTGGAGTGCCTCCTAGAGCTGAGGAGAGATGGAGAAAAGACAGAAACTGATTGATAAATCCTATGAAATAAAGCCATACATAATAAAGTTGAATCATTAAGCATTGTGAAAAGGCATGGATGAATATTTTTGTTATTCTGTAAAATTATTTATTACAGAATTATTTATTTAAGTAGTTTGGTCTTAATAGGCTCTGTTATTTGAAACACCCATTTGTAACATAAAGTGCTTCCTTACCCTCCAGCAGTTCCAATAAATTGGCTTTTTCCTGTCTGGCTGAAAGTCTCAAGACAAATCCATGTAGGGAATATTATATCCTGTAGTAGATTTTGAAGTTTCTTTGAACTCATTTTATAATAGAAGCTCAACTTTGCTGTGGAGTTTTTCTGCAGTATCACACTGTTGAGAGTAAAACTGTACACTCCATATATCAGATTCTATTTAAATTAAGTTAAATTTTTAGCTTTATTTTTTTCTGTCCAACTCCCTTATCCTAAATGTTGACTTTTTGAATAGTTAATGAGGCAATTTAAAGACCTTGTTTTGTTCTTTGAGAAAACCTACTTGTCTTAAGGGTGTCCACTATTTTAGTGATATCTTATGTATTGTGTGCTGGCCTCAAATCTGGGATGAATGCAGTGTTCACGTTATCCTATCTTGATGCTGACATTCAGTCTCCTTTTAGTCTCACATGAAATGAGTGAGAAGACTTTATTTCCCTAAGCTTGCCTTTTAAAATTGAACACTTTTACACACATGTATAAATACCAAATAGTTTCTCTGGTGTAATGGCACATAAGATACTAATGGTATAATTGGCAATGTGAAATAGGAAGAAAAGGGCTAAAGGTGTAGGGGAAGTGAGAAGGGTAGGGGAAAGGGAATAAGGGAAAAGAAAAAAAAATGAGAAAATGGAAATAAAGTCTTTGTAAATAGGGAAGGGAGGAGGGGTGAAGGGGGAGCAGGGGTAAGGCGAAAAAATGAGAACCAAGACCTGTCGTGTAAAGGTACAAGATCCCAATGATGAATGTAACTGTACTGTATACCTAAAATGTACCAATAAACTCAATGAGAAAAATAAATAAATAAATAAATAAATAAATAAAGTTGAGTACTTTTAGATTTGGCCTTAACAGACATAAAAATAGCACCCTTAAGTCTAATGAAAGGAATATCTGGAAAAGTTGCTTAACATGGTGTCCAGTATGTAAAAGAAACTTAACAATGTTCAGTTCCTCTTTCCTCTTTCTTAATGGGGTTCAGACAGAGCAAAAATATATTTACTAAATCATCCATTTCTTAGATTGTTCTTCAATTTTGTCCTTTTAATGAGATTTATACAATGGGAAAAGGTGAAGAAATTCTCACATTCATAAACAGAAGTACATAGTTTAGCTTGGAAAAAAAAATACAGAATTGGAAAGCCATATGATTTCCTAGGTGTCCAGATGTGCTCTCATTTTGAGTCTTATGTACAGTTGCAGCCCCCCTCCCACTCCATGTATATATGTTTTGGGGATATTTGTTTTTGAGGTACTGGGGATTGAACCGAAGATGCTCTGCTGCTGAGCTACATCCCCAGTCCTTCCTACTTTTTAGTTTAAGACAGAGCTTATTAAGTTGCTGTCTTTGAATTTTGCAGTCCTCCTGCCTCACCTTCCCAAGTAGCTGGGATATTAGGCATATGCCACAAGGCCTGGGTGAGACATTCTATCTTTATTAGGTTGTTGGCTAGCTTCCTGTTTGATGGTTGTAAAGATTCTTTTATCTCTTTGTACATTGATTGGTTTTAAGTCTCAAGGCTTTGAGTTGCAAACCTTCTTTTGGCTTTAAATTTGAGGTTTCCATCTTTATGTATATTAAGAACAAGATTTGAAAATGAGTTAATCTTGCCTGATCAAGCAAAGAGAATTTTATCTGTGCTAGCAGACTGGTTGATAATTGCTTTTGTGGTACCACATAGCTAGTTGATAGGTGGTTGATATTTTTGTTCTTGTATTTTGCTGTATTTCAACATAAAAGTGGCTTTTTAAGGGCCGGGGATTTGGCTCAGTGGTTCCGCTGCCTGCTCGGGAAGCACAAGATCCCTGGTACCAAAAAAAAAAGAGGTGGCCTTTTAATAAGAATGATTATCCAACCATATTTACCACAAAGTGACAAAGTTAAGATTGCTAATATAGTAATTGCTTAGAATCAGCACTTCTTGGAGTTTTGCAGTCTATATGTACTTTGAAATTTTTCTTGATCTGTAAGGTCTCAAAGCCCCTTCTTAATTTGGCAGCCTATTTTATACTAAGAGGATACTAGCATTAAAACAGGGTTAAGAGATCCTATGAGTTCTTAGAAAAACAACTGCACATATTAGATAAAATGAAAACATGCTTCAGAGTTGGGGATTCTTGGAGAAGGCTGAGTGCTGATCCAGACTCAGTCACATCTAGCAGCATTTACCTCAGTGACTTGCTACTGGCCAGTGTCCAGCCTCTTTTTTGCATATTTAGTGACTCAATTTTGTCAGCCTACTAGAGTTGATTAGACAAGGAATTGCTGAATGGGACTAACAGGCTGCTAAGACCACTGATACATTAGAGAATGTCAATTTATTAATTTACAGTGAGAAACCTAACTACTAGGAGGCCCAGATACTCCTGCTGGCCTGAGCAGCTCATTGTTTCCCTGTAGACAGCCCACATGGGAAGCCAAATTATAATCAGAAGATTACTTGGTGAACAAGGTATTAGAACAAAAGAAGTTTTATAATTTGAATATTCAGTGGCATCAGCTAAGATAGCTTGATTCGTTCATCTTCAAATAGAGATAGCCTTGTCATGGGATAGTAATTCTCACAGTCCATTGGCTGAGACCCCCCCCTCTCCTCCCCTGGACAATGCTAAATGGGTACTATCTTCGTTTTCTTTGTAAGACTGATTCTCTATATTTACTTTGCTTCTACTAGACATACTTCTCAAAAAGTGTCTTCAGTCAAGTCATATAGTAAGTTATTTTTTAACCTTGAATTACTTCTGATCCAAGTTGAGGACATAATTATTTCCTAGTTCTCTAGCAAACATCCCACTATTATATCAACATATTTCCTATAGGTACTAATTTTACTAATCTAGAACTCTCCTGTTACCCAAGCTTTGAAAAATCACCTGTATTAGTTTTCTATTATTGCTGTAACAAATGGGTGGCTAAAGCAACAGAAGTTTATTCCCTCACAATTTTGGAAGTTCGAGCTGGGGATTTAGCTCAGTGGTTCCGCTGCCTGCCTTGCAAGCATGAAGACCCGAGTTCAATCTCCGGTACCGGGGGGGAAAAAAAAATAATTTTGGAAGTTTGGAGAGAATCTATCTGTTCCATGTATCTGTCCTTTCTCCTGGTGATGGTTAGCAATCCTTGGTGTTCCTTGGCATGTGGCTGCCTGACTCCCGTCTCTGCCTGTATTATCAGATGGCATTCTGCCTGTTTGTCTCACCATGTCTCTGTATCCATAGTTTTCACTCTTAAAGACAGTAGTCATGCTAAATTTAGAGCCCACTCTAATGCAGTATGACCTCATTTTAAATTGAATTCTTACATCTGGAATCTTTCCATGTAAGGTCACATTTACAGATGAACATGAATTTTAACCAAGTATGTAACTTGAGCCCAGGAAAAAAATATTGTCCCTTGATCATACAATGTTTATTCTCACAAAAGCACCAACCACAATGAGCTATTTTTGCTTATTCAAATGCTATCTATCATCAAAGAAGCCCTTAATTTTGATTACAATTCTTTCGGCAAATATATTTTGCAAATCGTTTATGTATGAGAATTTTAGAGCTGCAGAGACCTGTAGACATTATCTAGTTCTGTGTTTCTCAGTTTTGTTCATGCATTAGAATCGCTTTAACAGGACCAAGATGTAGCTCTGTGGCACCGCGCCTACCTGGCAAGCGCAAGATCCTGAGTTCAATCTCTGTTACCAAAAAACAGACTCGCCTTGATAATTTCTAAAATTTTCTGTGCTTACCTAATACCCTAGACAGATTAATTCAGAACATCTTAGGGAGAGACCTGGGAAACAGGATATTTTTAAAAGACTTTAGGTGGTTACAATGTACAGTCAAGCTTCAGAACCACTGGTACATAGTCTTTGTTTTTTTATAAATGAGTAAGTGGAGGCCTAGAATGATGTAGTGACTTTTCCAAATCCTTAGAACTAGTTGCTAGAAGGCCTAAACAAAAGACTAAGTTCCAGGCCCCTCTTCAGGTTTTTCTTGCTGCCTGTCTGCCATTTGAGCAGAAGTGCTCTTAATGGTTAGAAAAATCATTTGTGTTTTGTGTTGGAGAGAGGATCTTACTCTGTTGCCCTGGTTAGCCTTTTACTCACAGTCCTCCTGCCTCAGCCTCTTAAGTGCTGGGGTTACAGGTGTATACCACCACACCTGGCTTAACTTTAAAAATAATTTAAATAATCAATTTAGGATTTTAATTTGCAGTGTCATATGTAAAACTAATGTATTACGCAACAGTATTTGATATTAAATACTCGTTCCTTTTTTCTCCCTGAAGGGAAAAATAAGATTAATCCTTGGATAACTATGTTTTTAAAGTAAAACTTGAAATTATAAAGAGGTCCATAGTCACATTTCTTAAAATTTGAGAATGTGTTGCTTTTTTCTTTTTTTTTTTTTAATTGCGATCTTTTACCCAGATGTAATGCATCCTATTCTTGTCTGGCTACATAATAGTCCACAGTGTAGATATATTTGACCCAACCATTTCTTGATATAGTTAGCAATCATTTTTTCTATAAATAAGTTTTTATCCAAATTGCTTATAGCTTTTTTATATTTTGTATTTTGTAAAATGAATACATACTCACCTGTCCCTGTTTCTTTTGCTTAACATTCTAAAATTCATGTTGTTGAAAGCAGCTGTAGAGTGTTCATTCTCTGTGCTAAATGCTATTCCAATTGAATTGTATAAATATACCATAATTTATCCATTCTTCTTGGTATTTAGGTTAATTCCATTTTGGGGCTTTTATAAATAGGTCTTTTAGGAGCATAGCTGTAGTAGTTGTTTTTGATGAACATAAATAGTCATTTCTGTTGGACATTTACTTAGACATGGAATTACTTGGCCATAGGATATGCCTGCATCAGCTTTGATGCTACCAAACAGTTTTCAAAGTACTGTACTAGTTTACAGTCCACCAGTTGCATTACAAGTTCCTGTAGCTCTGCATCCTTATCTGTACTTGGAATTGCCTTTTTTTTTTCATTTTAACCATTTCAGTTCATATGTGGTGATGTTCATTTGCTCTACCTTAAATTAATATGGTTAAGCACCCTCCCACCTTGAGCTTGCAGTGTTTCTCCTGCCTCAGCCTCTTGAATGCTGAGATTACAGGCATGCACCACCATGCCCAGCCCAGAACTCTTTATTTTTCAAAAGCTCTGCAAATGATTATAGTACATATTCTAAGTGGAAAACAATCACATAGGAGCAAGACCTGGCATGTTGTCATGGAGAGCAACAGGTAAATATGGTCTTTTTTTTTAAATGTTGTACCTAGGGATTGAACCCAGGACTTCAGGCTTATTAGGCAGTTTGTCTACTGAGGTGCAGCTCTGTTCCATTAATTGTCTTTTTAAAAAATTAGCTTCTATGCTTGACTCATGTTAAGTTTTGTTAAATTTTTTATTTTGACTACTAAGATGATCATAATTTTAACATTGACTATCATAACTAAAAAACTGAAAGAATTTAAAGCTTTTTATTATAGAAAATTCTAAGTAAATGGAAAAGCAGAGGGAATAGTGTGATGTAGCCACTGTACCCATTCTGCTCCTCTGTCTATCTTCCACAGTGATCAGTGCCTGGCTGGTCTTGTCTGTACCCAGGTACACATTCTCTATCTCTCTACACCCCCAGATTACTTTAAATCAACCTAGACATGTCATTTCACCTATAGGTGTTGAGTATATATCTAAGATAAAATCTACTTTTTAAAAATTACCATGTAATTTCTCTCTGCCCCAAAATGAACGGTAATTTATTAATTTCATCAAACAGCCAGTCGGTATTCAATTTAACTATTTATTTGAAGGAGGACCCAGATAAGGTCCGTAGATGGATGATTGACATATCATATAAGCCCCCTCTTTAAACAGGATCTCTCTTTTTTTTCTTGATGTTTTATTCTTGAAAAAAAAATAAATTGGTTGATCTATAAGATTTTCACTGTCTAGGTTTCATATTTTTGTTGTATCATTTATTTGTATCTCTGTATTGTTTATGCCTATAAAGATTTACATGTCCAGGGGCCGGGGATTTAGCTCAGTGGTTCCACCACCTGCCTCATAAGCGCAAGGTCCTGAGTCCGACCCACGGTACCAAAAAAACAAAACCAAAAAATTTACATGTCCATAAAGGGACACATCACTTGGTTATCCACTAGTTCTTATGTTGATATCTGTTCAGTCTTTTTAGTCATCTGAAGCATATTCCATTGTACATTCTCAGAAAATGTTCAGAGGTACATTTTCATGTTCATAGGAGCATATGGTTATGAAGATTAGTTTGGTTATTTGTAAAATCAACAACTTACATTTTTTTTTTTGTGAGTACCTTGTTAGTTACTCTGTTGTCTTCTAGCAAAAAGCATTGTCAGAATAACTGATGACAATCAGATTTTCTTTTCCTTACTTGGGACTTGATATTTTTTTAAAAATTTAAGTGATAAAGTGATTGTTTCTTTTTCTTTAAGTAGGCCAGTTTAATTTTATTTGCAATGATAGAAATTGAACTCAGGGCCTTGATCATGTGCTGTACCACTGAGCTATACCCCAAAACCCCTTTATTTTTCTTCAAAAAGATAGGGTGTTGCTATGTTTCCCAGGCTAGCCTCAAACTCCTGGGTTTAAGCAGTCCTCCTGCTTTAGCCTCCCAACTGATGGACTACAGGTATACACCACATCTGGCTAGGAGAGTTCTTTTGAATTATTTTTCACATTCCATATTATTGCTTTGCTTTGCTTTCTTAGGGCCTGCCTTTGTAGATGTATCTATTGATTTGTCTGTCACTTTTTTTTTTTGGTACTGGGGATCAGACTCAGGACCTTTCACTTGCAAGGCAGGCGGTGGCACCACTGAGCCGAATTCCTGGCCCCTTGTCTATCACATTTTAAAATACACCTTCTTAAACAAAAAAATAAAAAGTTTTATTGAAATAATAATTCGTATACCATAAAATTAATACTTTTAAAGTGTAGTGCATTTCATAATATGCTCACAGAAGTATGTGCTGTTATTAGTGTTTAATTTTACATTTCAAATTTAAGAAATGGTCTCCCCATAATAATTTCCCTTCCTATAGCTCCTAGGTCTCTATGGATTAGCAGTTGATAGTTTATGGATGTCTCATGAAATCATGCAATGTGTGCACTGCTTCTTTCATTTTACATAATGTTCTCAAGAGTCATCCATCTTGTAGCATGTGTCAGTACTTCATTCCTTTTGGGGCTGAATAATAGCCCAGTGTGTAGATATACCGCTTTTTGTTTATCCATTCATCAGTTGGTGAACATTTGGGCTGTTTCCACTTTCGGGCTATTACAAGTAAGGCTACTGGAAACACTTGTGTGTAGGTTTTTTGTGTGTGCCTGTGTTTTCATTTCTCTGGGGTGGAACTGTTGGGTCAAATGTTTAGCTCTAATTAGTATTTGAGGAAGTGCAAGGCTGTTCTTTAAACTAGCTGCACTATTTTATATTCTTATCAGCTAGGTATGAGAGTTCTGATTCTTGGTGATAATGATTATGTCCCCTGCCAGGTAAGTGAGAGTTCTGATTACTCATATCCTCACCTACACTTTCTGTTGTCTTTTTTTCTCAGAGGCCTAGTACTATGAAGTCCTCACTGGTTTTAATTTGTGTTCTTTTTGTTTTGTTTTTTTGGTACTGGGGATCAAACTCAGGACCTTGTGCTTGTGAGGCAGGCAGCAGAACCACTGAGCTAAATCCCCAGCCCATAATTTGTATTCTTCTCATTACTAATAATGATGAACATCTTTTTCATGTGTTTATTGGTTATTGTTAAGAGTTCTAAATGTGAGTCACTTATTAGCTATATGGCTTATAATTTTTTTCATTGTGTAGGCTTTTGTACTTTCTTGATATCATTTGAAGCACAAAAATATTTAATTCGGATAATAGACCAGTTTATCTACTTTTTCTTTTGTCCCTCTAGACTTTGGCTTTATTTCTAAGAAACTAAGAGTCTAGGTTTTAAAGATTTACTTCTGTACTTTAAGAGTTTTATTGTTTGGCCCAGTATCATTTGTTGAAATGATTTTTTTCCTTGTGACACCACAAAAAACTTACTATGGGATTTGACCAAGATCTTTTTCTGTTATTTATTATTTACTAGTGAAATACAATGTTCTGCAGTTTTAGGAGGGAAAGAATGAGCAAGAATTGCTTCCTTGGTCTAAGTTAAAAATTTATTTTCTGTTTTTAAAAAGTGGATACATCCAAACGTGTTTATATGGTACCTTCTGAAATGTGCCTTTCTGTTCCTTTCCATTTTTATCTGAACCTTCTCTTCCTTTGTCCCTTTTAATCTGTATTTCATAACTCGAGCTATGTCTCTTTAGTGAACTTTTACTTTGGAAGGGAGCTTTGGTTTGTTAGTTTTGAGCGTGAGTGGGGCCCAGAATGCACCATCAGACCTTACTTACATTATGCTGTAGTCTGCTCGCATTTATTTAGCAATGGGATGATGCCAGCTCCTTCCTAGTTTCTACTGTTCTCAGACTGGCTCACCATGCTGCCCCAAGCATGTGCTGTCTACAGTTTTTCTGTGTTCTGGCTATCACTCTCTCGGGCCTGCCCCTACTTCTTCTACACAGATGCTACTACCATTCAGGTCTGGTTTTGCCAAAAATTTGTTTCCCCCTGCTTATGCTTGGGCTTCATCTCCTGATTTTGCTGTAGACATTGTAAATCATTGGTTTTGCCATCCTCGTTGTGTTACCTGGCTTCATAGGGAGATTTAGGAGAGATTCTGAAAGTACACTGTCACTGTGTGCATTGTCCTAAAATTCTCTCACTGACAAATGTCTTAAAGGATGGTCTGTGATCTTTTCAAACAGTATGACATCTACAAGTTAAAGATTAAATGCAGCCCAAGTAGCTGATTCTTAGTTTAATGTCAAATAGCTTTACAGGGAAACAAATTACAGCAACTGCAGACTAAGATAAATATCATAAAATGTACACCTGTTGAATGTCTGTCATTTCTTCGGTGATACATAGTTTAATCATTTGTGTGTATGTTGCATCCTGTTTTGACTGTATTAAGAATCAGCTTTTCCCTTTCAGAATAACAAACCTCTGTATTCATTTGAAGATAATTCAGACTATGTTTATGATGTTATGTGGTCACCCACCCACCCAGCCTTGTTTGCCTGTGTGGATGGCATGGGGAGACTGGATTTATGGAATCTCAATAATGACACAGAGGTGAGTGGGAAAATAACAAAAATTGCACTGAAAAATAGAAAATTGGAGATTTATTGAATAATTTGTGAAATTCCTTTTATCCTAAGGAATGTAAAAGCACTCTATGATTGTAGCTTCATCACAAAGAAACCCAATAAGCTTTGTACCCTAAATAACAAATAGCATGCTGTGCAGAACTGAAGGGAGAAATAACGTTGTCGTGAGTACTGGGGCATTTCCTCTTACTTCTGAAAAGCAGTAGTGTCTCTGATGTCCTGGCAAAGTCTCGTTCATAAGGCAGCTGGAATATTTTCATTCATAGGCTAGAAAGCAGATAGTTTGATTCTCAAAGCATGTTAACCTTAATTCCGAATTTCTGAATTACCTCTTAGCCTTGATAGAATTGTGTATCATCCATAAGTATTAGTCTTAGCCTGACTTGTTTGAATGAAGAAAAATGTATTTTGATCTTTTCCAGGAAGGATGGAGATCAGCATTACTGGCCATATAAAAAGAATACAGAAACCATCCAGTTTCAATGGCTATATTAAAATCACTCATTAATTAAATAACATTTAATTTCACCTATCAGTTATTTTTAGCCATGTTTTTACTAGCCTAGAGAGGCTTATATTCTTAGATTTCAGTTTTGCTGTTGGTTAATAGAAGCAATGTTACCAGTTTCATCAGTAATAGTTGTTGAAGAAAAGGTCACTTGGTGCTTTCTCTCACATTTCGTATTTCTGGTGGCATCTTTCCTAATCCCTTTAGGTAAAATAGTTGGTTATACAAGGCCAGGGAGGTTGTATGATACAAGTGTAGGAATTTTAACATACCATGAACTTGTCTAGTAGTTTAGAAAGAAACATTCAGGTACTGCTAGGAAAAGGTATTAAGTCATAGTCAGGTGACTGGGTTTGGTTTTACATTTTTGAGTTACCCAGAACGGTGCCAGTTCTTAGTTTTGATTTTGGTACCAGAGATCTTTGGTTATAATTAAATGTAGATCTTTAATAGTTAACTCAATATTTCAAAATATATCAATATATCAAAATGTTTTTTTGTAACAATTTTGGGCTGATCATTAAAGATCAGTGTTAATCAAAAGGGTCATTTTGGTCAGATTTCAAAACTTTTTAAACATTTCATTGTGCATTTCAGCCTGAATCAGATGTTGAAGATTGACTTCATACATGGCGCAGAAATCTTTGCTCATTGTGAGAGTGGAACAGTGAAATTCCAAGGGGCGGGTGCTGTCGTGTTGGTGCCATCATTCTGCTTCCCTCAAGCAGTTCACAGGAGTAAGGGGCTTTGTAAAGACCTGTTGTGCACCTTACTAGAAACTGTGGACCTAATACAGGTTTTAGCTGTCAGAGAAGCAGGCTACAGAAATAATTCCTGTCCTCTTAAATTGAGCCATGATCTCTTTATGAGCACTTCTGAAATGTTTTCATTGTAAGTGGGTTTTGGCCATATATTTTCAAACAACTTTGACTACTTAAGTTAAAACAACAACAGAAATCCTTTATTAAAAAGAAGATCTTTCAAAATGATATATTCAGTCATGTGAGAATTTCTTATATAAGGACTTGTTATTTTTCCCAAATCATTTTCAAGGATTGACTATAATGTCATTCATAATATATTGCCATACAGGAAGAAACTTGGGGAAATTCTTGATCTATTTTCATCTGTCTTTTTAAAACATGCCAGATTAAAAGAAGAATTACTGTTTTACATGTGTATAGAAATTTTGATGAAACTTTTAACACTGCACTATATTTTAAATGACTTTAGGTACCAACTGCCAGCATTTCTGTGGAGGGTAATCCTGCTCTTAATCGTGTTAGATGGACCCATTCTGGAAGAGAGATTGCCGTGGGTGATTCTGAAGGACAGATTGTTATATACGATGTGGGAGAAGTATGGGACTTTCTGTCTGCAATTTTGATACATATGTTTAGTGACATTGTAGTGAAGCTATCTTAGTGGCTAAACCTTGTCTTCATGGTTCATGAATTGTATAAACCATATGGTTGTATACGTTGCACCACAGAAGCAACTCTTGAAATTAATTTCCTTTCAAAACTGGATGTTCTGTGTCCCCGTGTAACAGATCTTGAGAGCAATACAATATGTTGGAAGGACCCTGTTGCTTGAAGCATATGTTGCTAAAAATTAGAAATTCTTCAGGCAAAAGAAATGTGGAGTTATAAATGGACATTGGTGTTCTACAGAATTGATAGAGATAAGATTTTATGTTTCTGCATCCTTAGATTTGTTTCACCAGAGAGTAGAAACCAAAAGAGCTGTCTTTTGCGTTATCTGATGACAGTGGGAAGTATGAACTTTGAACCTTGATGCAAAGCCATTATAACTGGATTCGACAGGATGAGTTGCAGCTCTTTCAGCTTTAGTGTTCCGCTCGGCAGTACACACTGTTTGGGATTGATCCCTGGCTGGTGCCTTAATTAATCACTTTTTCTTCTGCCATGGTCATGATTCCACATCCTGCCTAGATGGCCTCTAGCAATTGCAACTGGAGGGAGGTAGACTGAATCATTTTAGAAGAGCCAGTTGAACTATCTGTACTGTCAAATATCTACTGGCAGCATGTGGCTATGAATAATTAATGTGGCTAGTACAACTGAAGAACTGAATTTTTAATTTTAATTAAGTATAAACAGTCACATATGGCTAGCAGCTACTCTACTGGGTAGTACAGACTTAGAAGCAAGTATGTACATTTGCCACAGTGAGTGCTTTGTGCCCTATCGTGGCAGTGTCAGTCATATTATAATTCAGTTATCAGAAGCCTTCATAATTGGACTGCCTCTGTGAAGGAGAAGCACCACAAGCTTTTCTGTCCCTTCTGCCTCTGATATATCAACACTAAATGGTAAGCATAACATAGCTTCTGGAAGAAACTAGGGTATCAAGAAACACTGTGCTCCGAACAAGAATAAATACATCTAAGAATCAAGCTCTTACAGACCATGTTTCCAAACTACTTCATAATAGGGATGACACAAAACTGAAGTTAAATTTTTAAAGGAATTCCTCTCCACCGGCAAAATCCTTAAGATGGTGCATAGGAGTTCCATTTACAAAGCATCATGTTATTTTCTCTTGCACTGATGATGATAATAGCAAAGTCATTTTTAGGGCTGTCACAACATACTTCAGAAAAACCCTCTTTTGTTTTGAAATGTTATAAATCATTGTTATAGTCACTGTCATTGTGTAAAGGACATTCAGGTCAATTATCACTTTTTAGTGGAAAAATTATTTGAAAACAAAACTGAATAGTAGTAGATAAGATGATCTTTTATTTCAGAGTACATAAAACATTGTCTTTCTTTTAACAGCAGATTGCGGTTCCCCGCAATGATGAATGGGCACGATTTGGCCGAACACTTGCAGAAATTAATGCAAACCGAGCTGATGCAGAGGAGGAAGCAGCTACCCGAATACCTGCTTAGGTCTTGGAAAGGGGGATGTAGTCTTAGTGGATTTATGGAAAACACTTAAGTAGATTCTAAGACTATTTGCATGTTTCTGTCTGAATGATGATTAAAAGAAAATTTCATGGATTATTCTGTGGATTTAATGCAGCAAGCAAAGCTTACAATGTCTTTTTTTATATAATACACATTTTGTTTTGGATTCGTGTCATTTTTAATACAGCTGACTTTACAGAATGCAGCTTTTTCTGAATTCTAATGCACAGGTGTATATTTAGTAATCTTTTGAATTCTTTTCAATTTACAACACTATATACAGTTATTTCAAAAGCACAGATTAAATAAATCCTACATATTTTTAAATAATCCCAATTCCTGTTACCCTGATAATGTTTTAACCATAATGTGTAGGAACATTTTTCATCACAGCATGTAGACATTTATCCAAGTTCTAGTCTAACATCCTTTTTCTTCTTTGTAGTTCATGTAGTCATTATCTAAAAATAAAAACAAATATGTTAACTTTTCAATGTTCATTTTTACTCCTTGCAATTTGAATTTTCCATCTTTTTTATAAAACGTCTTTTATTATTGTCCTTCCTAAGCCCTGTTGTGAGCAGCTACTATGAATCCTGAAAAGCTTTGTGCCTTATATATACCATCCAGGCATACTGCAGATTTCCCTATGCATTATGAGCTGATGTTTGGATGATCTGTCAGTGAAGTGTCCCCATGTTAACTTTTGCTGGACCACCTTATTTTCTTGCTATCCATATTGAAAGGATACATGGAAAGCTCTTGATAGTTTCACTGATTGAGACTACTATGCATGTGAGCTAGCTCTCTGAGAGTAAAGTCTCCTTTGAGACAAAATGATTTCATGGTTGCAGTAGTGATAAAGGCAAAGTGCTAAAATGACCTATGCTTTGGCATTTATAAGCTCCACACCTTGAGAGCTGTTACCCTACCTTTCTCTACAAGTCTGAAATGTAGGTGATGAATACCTAGCAACTAGTGTTGAAATCAACCAATTCTAAAGCTAGAGAAATGTATTTTGATCAGATCTTGGTTTGTAGCCATTTTAAACTTTCCATCTCCTTGGTTGTGACCTTTTTTCCATCTAAAGCTTGTCTTTTATTCAAAAGAACTTGAACTAGGAAGGAAGATTAGAAATCAGAATTTAAACATTTTAATTCTCATAAAGATTTACTGAGAGAGAATTCTAAATAACAGAACTTAACTATGAGTGTTCTACAACACAAAGAATAGTTGAACTAGAATAGTAGATCCTCAGTTCTAGTTCTAGCTCTGGCACTTATAAGAAGTTGGATTTTGGCCAAGCCTGTGCCTCATTCTTTTATCAAGGAATTAAAGTACAAATTAGGCGATTCTGAATTTCCTTCCAGCTCTAAAATTATTAATTGTCTTAGTTACGCCAGGCACTTTCCATGTTTGTATATTTAATTTTCCTAAATTGACCCCATTATTTGCCAAAGATGACATCTCAATTATTTCATGGCAACAGTGTCTTTTAAAAGTTGTTTCAGCAAGGTCACACTGTGTAGAAAAATTCATGTAGTCATTGTAATAGCTAATATATTTCTGCCCTCAGTTTGTAAGAATGACTAGAAAAGGAGAAAACATAGCTAAAACACAATTTTAAATAAGGTTGAAAATTAAGAGATGTGACAAACCAGATGCTCACAGGACTCAAATTGTTCATTTATTTTAAAAAAAATACAATTGGTAAACTTGAAAAATACTACTAAAGAATTTTTGCTTTGGAGGAACTCTTCCTTCCTCCCTAAACCTTATGTAGACCTTTGCTCATGCAATTTTAATACACTTTTTTAGACACACATGAATTTACTGTAAGGAATTAGCTCTAAAGGTAACTCTAATAGAAAGTACTATACTGAGACATAATTGACATAGAATCTAACAAAATTAAGTTGACTGGAAGTATATCAGCTCTTCGTACTTTTAGAAATGAAAGACATGAATTTTGAAAGAATAGTTATAGACATTGTAAACTCGTTAGTCACTTTTACTTTTTTTGAGCAGAAAAGAAGTAATAGCTCCCTGGCTAATTTTGTTCTGTTTTGTTTCCTATTTTTTGAATGGGAAGTTAATATTTTTACCATTATTTGTGTTGAAGGATACTTAGTTTTGCAGGCAGTAAATAACTTGCAGTAGTAAATCTCTGAGGTCATTTTTGGCTATCATTTAAATCAAATATTGAAAAATAGCTTTCTTCCTCTTATAGATACAGTACCTTTACAGTGTTTGGAAAATCTCATCTTAAATATGGCTGCAATAATGCTGAGATATTGCACTGTGAAGGAATGGTTGACTTAAAGGAATAGGATAAGGAAATTAAGTACTTTCAAGGATGACTGATCCTAGTCTTTCAGTGTTAGAAGAAGGTTGATCTATTTCTGTTCTATCCTGATACAGATAAACCACTCAAACTATTTGGAAAGGAAGGGCTTCAATGAATAAATGAAACCTGCCATGAAGCATGTAATTTTTCCTCCCTTCCTAATGGGCATGCATTTTAAATATCTTTTCCACAACAGTATTTCAACAATGGCATTGTACCCATTTTCTAAACATAAATGGCTGAGTGAGTAGATGTATGTTCGAGAGAACAGAGCTCCAGCTCCATCTCCAATGGCTGGATGGCATCCATAGTGATGTTTCATACCTAACCCTTGGTACAGAGCCTTAAGGTACAGGGCCTGCTGCTTTGCTTCTTTTGATGACTTGGTGATGGCGTTCCATTTGAGTTTTTTCTTTTTTAATAATCCAACCTATATAATGGTAATAAAGGAGTTCTTGCTTTCCAGCTATCATCTTGCTGATTGCTAGGGACCTCACAGCTTTGGGGAAAATACTCCCAAGTAGAACCTTATATTTGACTCAGAAATTATAAATGCTAGGAGATTATAGATCAGGATCTGGGGGCTTCTAGTTCTACCAAAGAAGCAAGAATTGCCCCAAAAGTAATATTAAAAGAACATCAAAGTTCATTATTTCTTTTCAGTGGAGAATTGCATTTCAGAACATTTTTTAACCACTATCTTTAGTTTTACTATCCAAAAATATTAATAACTTACTGTATTATGTTTTCAAAACAAAGTCAGCTTTAGAAAAAGATCCCAGCCAGGAGTGGTGGTGCACACCTATAATACCAACACTTGGGAGGCTGAGGCAGAAAGATCACTGTGAGTTCAAGGCCAGCCTGAACTACATAGCAAGACCTGTCTCAAAAAACAACAGAAAAAAAAGAAAAAGATCCTACAGTCCTAAACAGAATGTCAACTGCAGCCAAGGTGAGATAGCACCTGCCTGTAATCCCAACCTGTGGGAGGCTGAGGCAGGAAGATCAGAAGTTCAAGCCCAACCAAGGCAAGTTGCCAAATTAGACCCTGTCTCAAAGGGGGTGGGGGCGGTGTCCTGGGGGGTATGGCTCAGTCCAAAGGCCTTGTCTTCAATCCCTAGTTCCAAAGTGGGTGGAGTGTCAACTGCAAGACTGAATAGCCACCACACTAATGCTTTTCACAACAGGCCAGTGCTCTCAGACCTTTTGCTGGACTTTCGGTATTTAGATTCTCTTTCTGCCTGCCATGTTCACAATGCCATAACTTCTAAAAGTTCAAATAGATGTCTACTATGTAAGTTTTTAGTATGTAGCTTCTAGCTACAGGTAAGTTTTGATACAGCCAATCAGCAATCTTTCACAAACTTTTATAAAATTACAGTATTTTGTGTTGTTAGTTTCATAGCAGGAATCTCAGTTTGGGCTTTTTAATATTCCATTAGCAGTTCCCAGTAAGAGGATGGAACAGCTTGCATTCAGGTTAGCTTTCTGAAAGGTCTATTTCACTTTGTGAGGTCACTTATTCAGGCAAGATAAGGTATTATCCTGCTTCTCTTATAATGTACTTGATTTGGTCAGAAATCTCTGGGGCCGTGATTGTATGGGGTGCAGAACACCCCTGCATCACACAGAACATGCAGAGCCCTGACACTCTGACTCGGAATCAGGTACACCACCAGGAAGACTTTGATAGCAAGTAATTGTGTCTCTTAGGAATTTTTGTACTAGATTTTTTTAAAGCACTTTTTTTCTGAACAAAATAATGGAAATGCTTTGGCACAAAATTTCTTATATTTAGGGTTGCCTGTATAGGAGGAGATGGAACACTGGGCTCAAAAGGCCGAGGTTCTAGCTCTGGCTTATCTCATTGCCAATAAGATCACTGGGATATAGATCACTTCTGTTGTCTGTTAAATGAGGAAAATACTTGCTTCCTGTGACAATTCCATGAGAAAGATGTATGTGAAGACTTTATAAAGCCCTATAGAAAGAATACAAGAATGGAGAGGAGACCATTCGGTGAAGATTTTGTGCAATGTAATAAGGCTTATCTAGGCTGGGCATGGTGGCGCACACCTGTAATCCCAGCACTCAGGAGGCTGAGCCAGGAGGATCACCGAGATTTCTAGGCCAGCCTGGGCTACATAGTTCAGAGCCAGCCTAAACTACAAAAGCAGGACCCTTTCTTTAAAAAAAAAAGTAAAAACAGAAGCCTCATCTTTGAAGGATTCAGTAGCTTGTTGTTCATGAAATTTTTTTTGACTTCTAAAAAATCTCAGCACAGTGTAAACCCTAAGAAGAATCCTCTCATGTTTAGGAATAGCAGTGAACCCACTAGAAAATACTATTAATCACAGATACTCTTCCTAGAAATGTCTTCTCTCTTTACATTCTATGGTAAACAGCATAAGTAAAAAAAAAAATGACCCATTCTGAATTTCCAGCCTGTACCAGCTGTTGTTCTTACATTAGTTCCGTACATTTCCATCCAGAGCCTTAGAAAAGAGATAGAATTACTTTTTGAATCTGTAAGAAAACAAACTTGCTTCAACAGTATATTTTTAAAAGACTGGACTGCAGCATAGTAGCAGAACCAGTCAATTCCTCAAAAAGCTAGGGAACAAACTCCTAATTTCTGTGGTCCCCTGTGCTAGGGTTGTCCCCCAGAAACAACACCCGCATACTGTGAGCAGATCACAGAGAAACCTGGTTCCGCGGGGAACTGTGTGGCTGTAGAGTCAGAGCAAGCACTGACGTGAACCTGCAAGGATCACTCTCTAATCTACTTCACACCTGGACTGGCAGCTCCTTGCTCTCTTACTGTATCCAAAATATGATTTTCAGACACGTCAAAACCTGATAATCAGAAACACCAGCTGAATACAAAAGTTGGTAAAATGACTAAGCCCTTACTTACGGGCCTATCAATATTTGATATAAATCGTGAATTTGTTAGTACATGAAGGATCATTAAATTTGCAGGGCAACCCCTCATCTGCCAAGGCTAAAAGAAATGACTTTAGTCTTCTTGAAACTCAAGAACTACTTAAGTAGTATCTGTATCAATTGAGGACATTTTGTGCTGAGAGTCAGATGAGTACAGTGTGACACAAAGACTGCCCCCATCCTGTTTGCTGTAAAGTGAATGCTATAATATCAGCGTTGCAAGAGAATAATTGGATTAATACCATCTCCAACATGATGCTGTGCTTTAGTTGGATTTGTAACTGAGAGGAAACCAACTCACCTAAATCTTAATGTTTGGTTGGTAGATTAACCCTTCCAAAAGAGAGTGGTCCTGGGGTTTCTAGTTGAGAGCCTTGGCCTTGGAGACAATGTATGTTGAAACTTGACTATTTGGGTAAATTCCCTTACCTCGCTAAGCCAATTTCCTCTTCTGTTACTTCTCAAGGCAGTTGTAAGAATTAAACCTGGGGAGGGGGAGCGGGGAGGGAGGGAGGGAGAGAGAAATGCATGCTAAACTATAAAGCACCATACGAGTACAAAACCAGATAACCTTCAGCAGAGTCACTGTTCCACAGTAGCCCATATGAGTGATAGGCTCTGTTTCTGCAAGAGATCAAAAACAGGCTCTTAGAAACTCACAGGTCTTTGCTAACACAGCTGCTTCACTACACAGGCCTTCGTGATCAGTTAGGATTCCCTTGTAATCTTTATTTTAGCTTTTTTATTCTGCTTCCTCTACCAGGAGAGATTACTAAGTCATGAGCTGTTTCACAGAAAGACTGTTGGGAACAATACAAGTACTTACTCAAAGGTCTTTTACCAACAGTATGTACTTACTCCAACTACACGAATGTTCCCAAAGGTGTCATTTCTTCTGCCTTATAAACAACTGGCCTGTACATTTTGGCCATTACTGAGCATTTGCTAAATGGTCGTGTATGTACATACACAAATTCTCATTTATCCTAGTTCTCATGATATGAAAACTTACGATTACTGTTTATAGAAGAGGAAATTGACTTGAACCAACTTCTGTGGGCCTCATTGGTAGCCTGTTTCCAAGGCATAAATGCCCCTAACAAGACCAGTTGTTAACTACCAGTGTGATGTCACTGAAAAGGAATTGGGAGGGTATATAATGGGCTATCAGTGAGCTGCTCTGAGGCAGGGCGAGTTATAGGGTTTGGAGACCTTAAATGACTGCATTGTAGGCAGCCTGGGTTTTAGAGCTGTATGCATAACTGCTTTATACTTTCTTGATGATCCTAGTCAACCAAGAATTCAGTTTGGGGCTTTGGGGGTTTGTTTTGTTTGTGAGATGGGAATCTCACTATACTGCCTCTGTTGGGTATCTGAGGTAACAGGTACATGCCAATACGCCCAGTAGGAATTCAGTGTTTTACTCAGATAACCCTCCACATAGTGAGTGACATGTGTTTTAAGACCCTAAGCATCTCCATATGAAGAGATTAGTCTTAGGGGTTCCAGAAAGTAGTTCTAGAAATTTTTACTCTGATTAGCTCAACCCTACTAGAATAGGCAGGTTAGATACAGGACTTACCTACAACTGCACAGAGCTCCCTTATGGCCTCTCAGCTACCCATTCAGCCTTCTCCTTCTTTAGTCCTGAGAAAATAATTAAAACTCTTTCAGTGTTATAAATTAAGCTGAAAGGCTGTATTACGTTCACAACAACATACAAGTTCAGCTGCAGTTTTAGTTCGCATACTCCTCAGAATTCTGTGCCAGAAGATGGCGACCAGCACAGAGTCAGTCCGCAGCCACTGCCTTCCTCTTCCACCGCCAGCTCCACGCTCGGGGTGCCTCACAGAGACGCCGGTGGGTTCTCCGGTCTATGCCTAATTTTGTTCGTATCCCTGCAAACAGGCAGCCCTTCGCCTCTCTTCATTTGTGTGAATGTGGTAGATGTGGATCTGGGGAAGAAATCCCATAAGCCCCCAAAGCTGAGCTGTTTATAGACAGGAAATTCAGAGACCCAATACCCTGAACATAATGTAAAAGGGAACAACTTGGTTCCAAGTGGGGAATCCCACTCACTCTGTAGACTTTTTGCCCCTTCAGGAAAGGCACAAGTAGGCACAGGACTCTTGGTTCAAGAGAACTTCTAAAATGAGGCAGCTACAGGCAGTGCTGTATCTGCTTTTTCTCCTAGACAGCTGACTCATTTTTAAAGGTATCTCTGTTGATCCTAATCTGTTATTTTTCTAATGCAAATAATATTGGTTGTCACTACTTTTTCATGACCCCTAGAAATTAGTTTTCAGCCCTGATAAGTCTGTCACAAAACTTCTATACTAGGAAGCAGAGAACTGATGTTTCAACAAATGCTTGTAAAGTAATACTTTCTGTGAATGTCTAATTGTACATTACGTGCTATAACTACAGGATCATCCCAGGAGGCGCTTCAACTCTAATTCTTTTAAAGAAAATAAGGAAAATTTATAAGTTTTTGTTCCATGTTGAAAGAGGGGCTAGCAATAGAATAAAAATTTGAATGAACGCCAGAAAAATAGCCAGCAGGATCAGAGCTATACACCAAGAAAACAATATAAAATCATAATTCAAAACAGGCAAAGATTGCTAAAGAGGAAGAGTGGGTTGGAACCCAAAATAAACCGATACAAAGGAGGAAGTTACCTGGGGTGCGGACTGCAGGATGAGGAAGCTGATTCAAAATAGCTAAGTGTGCCCTATTCCCAACTGCAGGGCAAAAATGATGTCTGACCCAGCCCACAGAGTAAGCAGGGAAGTGCTGGGGCACAGTCAGTGATGGAGCACTTGCCCAGCAGGCGTGAGGCTCTGGGTTCAATCCCTAGGCTGCCAAAACCCCCAAGCTTCACATAAGACAGAAAAACCACCAAAATTGGAGAAGCAGGGCAATGCCTAATCCTTAGGAGGAGAGAGGCTTATAGCCAGAATCTGAATACTGGATATCCTCAACTGGCAGCATAGCCCACGGTTCCCAACATCAGCTTTGATTAGCAGCAACATCTCTAAGACAGGTGATCACTAAATAAGGAAGTAAACAAATTACAACTAGGAGTCACCAAAACGAAGAACACCAATAATATGAAAGGGCCTGAACACCAAACCAAACCAAAACAATTTTTAAACATACGAATAACAGAACAGATGGAAGTAAATTAATTCAATGCCAAGTAAGTGTATTTACTATTCCAAGAATATAAACGAGGTTATCATAGCTATAAAATGTCTTTATAAAAGGTCATGCTGATATTAGTAAAATTATACCTTTTAAAAGGCTGAGTAATTAAAGGGTACAGCTGAAAAACAAAACTGACCCTTACAAGGTGCAGATGGAGTATTAAGGAAAGTCAAAAAATACAGCAACAGGTAAAAATGTTCTAGTATTTAAACAGAAAGGAGATGGGAGAAGTAGAGAGAAATGTCTAGTTTTCTTTGGTCTGAAAAAGATACAAGTTTTAAGATTAAAAGAGGGTTGGGGATTTAGCTCAGTGGTTCCAGCTCCTGCCTTGCAAGCGTAAGGACCCAAGTTCAATCCCCGGTACCAAAAAAAAAACAAAAAAATAAATCCCTGTTAAGGATGAATTATTGACCAAAAACGTCAGACTATTTCAAAAGGTGTATTTGTGAACGTATTTTCTATCACAGTGAACTAAAATTTGCATTGAAAAATGAAAAGGTTGTCACAAAGAAAAATTTCAAACAGATGGAAGTTAACTGAGTAACAGGGTAAAAAGGAAATATTAAAACCATTAATCATTTAGTATTTAATACAGAATTAGGACTTCTTGGGGAATGTCTGGTCCTGGCAAGAATGGAAACAAGGGCTAGAGTCCTTTGCTGAAGAAGCAAGCGAGGAAATGACCAAAGGGTTCCTGAGGTTAGATCAGTAGGAGCAAAAGGCTCCACCTGGTCAAAAATGAGATCATTTGAGCAAAGAGTATAACTGCAAAGGATTGAAACATCAAACATGTTCAATTTGATTTTTAAAAAATCCTCCTTTTGTCATCTCTGGACAAGATGAAATAAATTGTTTTACAGAACTGAAAAAAAAAAAAAGGCAAAGAACCAAGCATTTTCCTTATTTTTCACCTTTGGGTAACCAAATTGATGCATCTCTTGTACCCTAGTGAAAGCACGGTTGAAGGTACTCATCAAAGCTGCTAATGTTACAAAAAGAGGCGTTATGATGTGCTACCTTTAGGGTATACACACACCACATGCACAAAGAGTTCTTGCCCCCACCAAAAAAAGAAAAGAAAGTTATTAAGCCTGAGTCTGTCAAGCCTCTCTAGAACCTAACTACAAATAAACAAAAAATTGTAGAAATAAAACAAGCTAACCACCACCAGAGGGATGCAATCATAAAAATAAAAAGATACAGGAAACTACAAGATGAAGTACTAGCGTTAGTGTCTTAATCCACATGAGAAAGGAAAAGAGGTAGCAAACAGATACCAACCAATTTCATCTGTAAACCTTATTCAGATCCTCTTTATAACCATATATGAGACAGACAATTGCGGAAATGGTGTAATACTGAGAGTTCTATATGAAAATATTTCTAGATGCTATATCTAGGGTTTGTCTCAGAACAATCCAGTAGCATCTACAGCCATACCACCTTGAATGCACCCAATTTTGTCAAAATAATCCAGTAGGGGTGGGAGAAAAGTGGGTGAAGTGTAATTGAAACAGGTTTACTATGAATAGAATAGAATAGGTCATAGAAGCTAGGTGATAGGTAAATGGGATTGTATACTGTCCTGTTTACTTTAGATGGATGAACTTTTCCAGAAGTTAAAAAAGGGTCAATATAGTACAGTGGCACCTTAATTCATCCCACAGTTCGGAAAAAGATGCCCACATGTGGGTTTATGCAGGAAAGATGGCCACGGTCATGTTTGCCACCCAATGCAGACTTTGCAAACAAACACAAAATTTTACCAAATACTTCTGTTTGAAAACCAAATCATTTGCAGACAAAGGCATCTGTAGACCGAGGTACTGCTATATATCTTTGTTCAGAAATTAAAAACCCTGACTTGATAGAAAAAAATGTAATAGAAATGTAAAAAACTTGGTAATCAGAGAAGAAATTGAAAAGGTGATCAGAGTACTCTCTAGGAATACACAACTTTTAAGGGCACAATTTATAGAAAGAGCTTCATGAACAGCAATTCCACAAATTAGACAAAGATTGGCAGTGTAGTAAACATCAGATCAGAAACCATACAAAATCAATCCCAGCACACACACACACACACACACACACACACACACACACACACACACACACACTCTTACACACAAATTTGCAAGTCTTTACCCTATCCTAACAGCAAGTGAAAGCTGACTGGAAAAATCAACAGCTTTTCTTAGATGCATCAGGCAAGTGAAGTCACAGAACAAACCTCTGCCCCAAAAGTTGGAGAAGCAGACAGAGGACAGAGAATCACAGTTCACCACAACAGAAGCCCATGAGCAGAAACCTCCAGGGAAATTAGAGTGGGCATAAAAGCTGGAATCACCAAGTTGCTGGGGGCTCAGTAAAGATCTGGCTGAGAGAAACAGCCCAATGGGCCCAATCACACTGGGGGGACCTCATACTTGGTGAGTGGTGTCTCTTGGTGTTCTGCCAATGTGGAGAGAATAAGAGAAGCCACTAGTGGAAGAAAATACTTGCAGAGGAGATTAATAAAGGACTGCTATGCAAGCTATCCAAGGAACTTTAAAATTCAATGATAGGAAATAGAACCCAATTAAAAGATTTAAACAGACATTTCACTATGGAGGCTACACAGATGGCAACTAAACCTACAGGTGATTAGAGAAATGTAAATTAAAATAATGAGGTACCACAATATATCTCTTACAGAGGCCAAAATCCAAACGCCAGCACCACCAAATGCTGAAGAGGATGTGGACCAACAAGAACTTCCATGCTTCACTAGTGGGAATGCAAAACAGTACAGTCACCTTGGAAGGCAGTGTGGTACTTTTTAACAACACTAAATCTATTCTTACCATATGATTCATCACTCACTCTTGGCATTCACCCAACTGAGCTGAAAACTTATACCCACATGAGTGCCTGCACGCAGACGTTTATTCCAGCTTTATTCAGAATTGCCAAAAGTTAGAAGCCGCCAAGATCTCTCGTGGTGTTTACAGTATATAAGCAAACTGTACTACATCCAGATAATGGAATACTATTCAGCACTAAAAAGAAATGAGTTCTCGAGCCATAAACATTTATAGAAGGAATTTAAACAGATATAACTAAGACAAGGAAGGCAATCTGAAAAAGCCGCTACATGCCCTGTGATTCTAATATATGAAGTTCTGGAAGGAGCAAGACTGTGGGGACAGTGGGGGGCTTTGTGGTTGTCCCGAGTTGAAAGGAGAAGTGATGAGGAGGCACAGCACAGACTCTGGGGGAAGTGAAATATTCTCTTATGATGGTGGACACATGCACTGTACTCCGTCAGAACCCCAGAGTGGTCTGCAGCATGAGCTGTGGACAGCGGGCCCTGGTGCTAGTGACTGTGGCCAGGGAGCTGCTGGACGGGTAGGCCATGCCCATGTGGGCTGGAGGGGCAGCAGATGCAACACTGTGCCTTCTACTCAATTCCACTGTGAACCTATAACTGCTCTAGAAAGTTTATTTTTAAAAAATAGATTCTCCTATTCCTCATCCTATGTTCAATCAAAAGTAAAACTAAACAAAAACTAAATGCATAGAGAAATATTAGAGAAACATAGTTAACAATTAAAAACTTTTAAATGGAAAACCCACAGCACACAAATAAAGAACTTCATTCCTAGGAAAATAGCAGACTAGGTTATTTACATCAGTGCTGAAAACTAAAGTACTAATTTTTTAGTATATTTAAAGTACTGAAGACCTAATATATTATATATTTACAAGACAACAATGTAAGGAAAAGCCAGAACCCAGAGAAGTAAACCAAGCACTTAATCAGCCTTGAAAGTTCATACCAAGTGTTCAGGGATAACAAGATCTTTGTAATAGGAGCAAGATAACAGACTCCAACTTCAATTTAATGAAGTACAGTATGCATATTATAGACTTACTAAAAGAATAAGGAAGTATATAAACTCCAAACTAAAACAGCTGGAAAGCAAAACACAAGAAAAACTGGTCCAAAACACCCAAGAAAAGGGAGAATAGTATTAAAGAAATGGGACAAAGAAATCACAAAATAAAATGTTAGGACTAATTGCAAATGATTGGTATCAGTAAGCACATTAAATGAACTACAGGAGGGCATGATGACACGCACCTATGATCCCAGAACTCAGGAGGCAGAGGCAGGAGGATCGCTGTGAGGTTAAGGCCAGTCTGGGCTACACAGTGAGTTCAAGATCAGCCTGAACTACATAGCGAGAGCCGGTCGCAAACAAACCAACCAATCCCAAACAAATGAACTATGCTGCTTTAGCTTGAAAGACTGAAGTCAAACTACACATTCTTAAAAACTCAAATATATGCTGCTTACAAAAGAGATAGCTAAAACTAGAGAAAATATGGGAGAAAAGATGAGGACAATATGTCTTTTAAATACAAAGAAAATTGGCCTATTAATATAAAAAGATTTTTAGACAAAAAGCATTATAAGAGATAAAAATGGTGGGCTGGGGATTTAGCTCAGTGGTTCGGTGGCCTGCCTTGCAAGCACAAGGACCCGAGTTCAATCCCCGGTACCAAAAAAAAAAAAAGAAAAGAGATAAAAATGGGAATGTTACAATGACAAATCAATTCACCAGGAATTCTGATAAGTTTAAGTTTCAGTACACCTAATAACATAATCTTAAAATATGTAAAGCAAACATTGACAGAGCTACGAGGATAAATGGAAAATATCAAATTATGACGGGAGACTTTAACATACTTCTCTTACTAATTAACACAACGAGCAAACAAAAAACTCAGTAGGATACAGAAGTCTTCAATCAATCCCGGCCCTTGACCGAGTATGAAGGAAGGAAAGTGAGCTCACACACATGCCAGGCACACATGGCAAACGCCTGTCAACAGCAGAACACGTCTTCATCCGCGTCCACAGGACGTTTATTAAAAAT